ACATTCGGTGTCGATTCGTTGATTTTTGCGGTCGCAGGAACCCCCCACACTTTGGGGCGTCGCCACGCCATGCTATGTATGGCTACGCGTCCTCCGAATCGTGCTCCCGCTGCAGCGCTTGCCTCATTTCCGCGCTGGCGTCATTATTGCGAAGGCCTGACGGCCGGTGCCGCCGACCCTGTTCGCAATGCGCAGCAAGAGATTACGAGGTTGCTCAAGGTCGGCTTGGCTGGAGCCCAGGGGAAGAGGAGTCCCAGGGGGGGGCGTCGTATCTGACCCGGGGGGGGGGTCGCTACCCCCCCCCCCCTCCCGGCGGGGGAGGGATCAAAGGGAAGGGGCTTCCCTTCGACTCAATTACGAGGTTGCTCAAGGTCGGCTTGGCTGGAGCCCAGGGGAAGAGGAGTCCCAGGGGGGGGCGTCGTATCTGACCCGGGGGGGGGGTCGCTACCCCCCCCCCCTCCCGGCGGGGGAGGGATCAAAGGGAAGGGGCTTCCCTTCGACTCAATTACGAGGTTGCTCAAGGTCGGCTTGGCTGGAGCCCAGGGGAAGAGGAGTCCCAGGGGGGGGCGTCGTATCTGACCCGGGGGGGGGGTCGACACCCCCCCCCCCTCCCGGCGGGGGAGGGATCAAAGGGAAGGGGCTTCCCTTCGACTCAATTACGAGGTTGCTCAAGGTCGGCTTGGCTGGAGCCCAGGGGAAGAGGAGTCCCAGGGGGGGGCGTCGTATCTGACCCGGGGGGGGGGTCGACACCCCCCCCCCCCTCCCGGCGGGGGAGGGATCAAAGGGAAGGGGCTTCCCTTCGACTCAATTACGAGGTTGCTCAAGGTCGGCTTGGCTTGGAGCCCAGGGGAAGAGGAGTCCCAGGGGGGGGCGTCGTATCTGACCCGGGGGGGGGGTCGACACCCCCCCCCCCCTCCCGGCGGGGGAGGGATCAAAGGGAAGGGGCTTCCCTTCGACTCAATTACGAGGTTGCTCAAGGTCGGCTTGGCTGGAGCCCAGGGGAAGAGGAGTCCCAGGGGGGGGCGTCGTATCTGACCCGGGGGGGGGTCGACACCCCCCCCCCCCTCCCGGCGGGGGAGGGATCAAAGGGAAGGGGCTTCCCTTCGACTCAATTACGAGGTTGCTCAAGGTCGGCTTGGCTGGAGCCCAGGGGAAGAGGAGTCCCAGGGGGGGGCGTCGTATCTGACCCGGGGGGGGGGGTCGACACCCCCCCCCCCCCTCCCGGCGGGGGAGGGATCAAAGGGAAGGGGCTTCCCTTCGACTCAATTACGAGGTTGCTCAAGGTCGGCTTGGCTGGAGCCCAGGGGAAGAGGAGTCCCAGGGGGGGGCGTCGTATCTGACCCGGGGGGGGGGTCGACACCCCCCCCCCCCTCCCGGCGGGGGAGGGATCAAAGGGAAGGGGCTTCCCTTCGACTCAATTACGAGGTTGCTCAAGGTCGGCTTGGCTGGAGCCCAGGGGAAGAGGTCTCCCAGGGAAAGGGAAGGACAGAGACGACGAGTACAAAGAATGACGGAGATGACGGCTCGAACGGAAAAGCCCCTCACACACGCCGACAGGGTCGGCGGATTTCCAGCGCCATGCCACGGCATGGTTTTCGGTCCTTGCAAATAGGCTCCAAAATCTAGAAAATGGCCCCCCGGAATAACCATCGGAAGTGATTACACACTCGGTGTCGATTCGTTGATTTTTTGGGCCGCAGAACCCCCCACTTTGGAGCGTCGCCACGCCATGCTATGTCGGACTACGCGCTGATCTTCAACACCATGCTATGCCATAGAACGTCATGCCCTGCTACGACATCCGACTGTGCGAATAGAGAGGAGATCTACACCATGGTAAGGGATGGGAGGGAGGGGTAGGACGTCAGATATGACGCGAGCGCACCTAGCTTGCCCTACCCCCTCCCCTGGACCTGGACGGGGGGGGCGGCGAGGCGCTGGAGCATTGAAAATGACCCAAGACGGTCCCAAGAGGGCCTCAGAGAGCCCAAGATGACCTCCAAGATGGCTCAAGATAGCATAAGATGTCTCAAGATGGCTCCCAAGATGCTCCAAGAGGCCCCAAGAACGCTCCAAGACGGCTCCAAGAGGCCTCCGAGATTCCCAAGGAGGCTTCCAAGAAGCCAAAATATTTCAACAAACTAAGGCAAATCAATGATTGTTGCATCGCCGCCGAGGCCTCAAGATGGCTCCAAGATGGCCCAAGAGGACACCAAGAGAGGCCCAAGAGAGCCCCAAGACGGCCCCAAGAGCGCCCAAGAGCGCCCCAAGGGCGCTCCAAGAGGGCGCCAAGCGGCGATTTTGGGGGCTCCCGAGGGGGGGCGCTAATTAAAGCTCCCCTCTTGTTTGATCCAAGTCCTCCAAGATGGCTCCAAGAGCGCCCCTGAAGCTCCCAAGAGCGCCCCAAGAGGCGCCCAGTCGGCCCCAAGAGGCTTCCAAGAGGCTTCCAAGAGACCCCATACGAGGCCTCAAGAGGATCCCTGAGGTACGCAACTCTCCCTCCTTCTCCTCCTTCTCGTCCTCCTCGTCCTCGCCGTACTCCACCTCCTCCTCCTCCGACGACGACGACGACGACGACGACCACCACGACGACCACGACGACGACGATTCCTCCTCCATCCTCCCCCTATTGGGATATATGACGACTTCCCCCGCCCTTTGGTTTTCCTCATGCTCCCCCACTTCCCAGATCACCTCAACTCCTTTGCGCATCGTTTCTGGATGGATTGGTGGGGACACTTTTTTTTTGGTTGGCGGCTCCCTGGCGAAGGTCAAGAAGCGGGGCAACGAACGGGGCGCGAAACGAAGATAATTGGCCGCAGTGGCGTATGCACATGCGAGGGACAAAATGACCCAAATTGGACGCCAAAGGCCGGCGTAGACATCCCGGTGATTGGGGACGCCACGGCGCGGCGACCGGCGGCGAGACGGCGACGAGAAACGCCCTTTAGGCGCCAGGCACCAGCCAGCACAGCGCGACCAGGTGATCGAGCCGAGCATCCCGACGGGTGGGGACGAGCGCGGCGACCGGCACAGGGACGGTACGGGAACGGCAAGGAGAAGTCGCCCTGGCGGCGCCTGACTCCGGCCGATCAACACACGGAAGCGAGGCCAGGAGCGAGGAGAAAAGGTGCAAGTCGCACGCCAGCCGGGGCACACGGCAGCGCCAAGAAAAGAAGGGGCAGCAAGCGGAGAAGGGCCTCACTCGCCATGGCTCACTGACGCAGAGGTGTGGCTGAAGCCCGTCCTTCGCATGAGAAGGGGGCGACCCCGGTCTGCGCACACGAGGTAGAGCCTCTCCAGCCTGTAGCCAGTGCATACACAACGTATCCGACTCTCGCGGTTCGGGGGCACAACGATGCAAGTACTGACGGAGGCTGATGCAGACTGATCTGCGAGGGGTAGGCCAGGAACTGCAGAAGGCTGAACCACTCGGTGCAGAGCCACTCCCTGGCGAAGCCAGAGATCAAGTAGCACCGGAAGTATGGCTAACGAACGCACCCGATCTCCACCTGTCACGGAGCCCGCGGAGCTGAGTATGCCTAGCGGCGACCAACTGTCGGCCGTAGCGACTGTAGGCGGCGTGCTGGCCGCGGGCCGAGTCGTCCTTGTGGTAGCGCCATGATCGGGTCAGCATAGAACCAAGGCGACACACAGGTGGGGGGGGGCGCTGCCTGTTGCTGAGCGCCGGTGTCACAGTGGGAGGGCTGGCCCCCCTCCACTGCAGCACCACTGGCGTGCGCTCGCAGGCTGGCAACCAGCCGATAGCCAGTGTATCCACATCGTATCCGACTCACGCGGTCCGGGGGCTCGTTGGTGGGGACACGCGAAGCGTCAAGAACTGCCAGCTTGATTCCTCTTGGGGGGCACTTGGAACCTCTTGGAGGTCTCCTTCGGCCCTCTGTGGATTGTCGGTGCGCTCTTGGGAGTATCTGGGAGCTTTTTGGGGCATTTCTGTTGGCTCTCTTGGGCAATGTTGGGCCATACTGGGGCCTCTTAGGCAACGCACCCGAAGGCGATGCAGCGAGGGAGGGATGAAGCGAGGCAAGGCATGGGTACGCTTGCTTGTACGCGAGGCATGGAGCGAGGATTCAGCCTACATTGAAGATTTTCGGTTGTTGCTTCTCGGGGAAGGCCCCGTGGCCATATCCGATCAATCTCGCAGCCTTCGCGGGGTCACTTGGGGCCATTCAACAGGCAATGTTGGGCACACTTGGGCCATCTTTATTGAGCCAACTCAGAGAAGATCTTGCGCCATCCTGGACAAACTTGTGCCATTTCGGAGGCCACCTTGAGCTACCTGCCGCCACTTTGGGCGCTCCGACATCTCGCGATCCCTGGTACAGACACCCAGGGAGGGGTAGGTGGAGGAGCCAACCTCCCCTCGTATGGGAGCAGGGGGTCGTTTGGGAAAGGCTCGTAGCCTAGACCACCCACGCCCCGGGGGTTGACTGGACTGTATGCGAGGTGGGTCCGCGGACCAGTTTGGAAAGGATATCGGCACGATGGGGACGGTGTGTTGTTTGGAGACGCACGTCAGCAAGGAGGAGAGTTCGGGACCCTGACCAGATCCACCCAGGCCTGCATGTCCAGCTCCTCTTGGTCTACCGTCAGGAGCGTTTGCTTAGCGTGTCGTAGCCGCAGCCCAGCCCTAGCGACGCGCTTTGCCCTGCAAACGGATAGCGTGCCGCTCCGCTTTGCAGAACGGGAGGTTGGGGAAAGTTAGGAAGCCAGCGGATGCCGCCGCGTAAGGTCGCTATGTCATCTCGCGCAAGACGAGGATCGTCGCTCAATTGATCCGACGAAGGCATCTATACACCACCACCGTGCGAGGCCAGGGCCACCCTGGGCCCTGGGATGGTGTATAGACCCTCCTGGCCTCAGCCAGCAGGGCGTATAAACGATCCTCGATCCCCGATCCTCGATCACTCCTCGATCGCTCCTCGATCCTCGATCGAGGATCGAGGATCTGCGTAATTGAGGGTTCTCCCTGCCCTGAGGACCTGGTGGCCAGCGTTTCCCTGCTGGACGACCCGGAGCGCGCCTCCCGGGGCGGTTGGGCCTTCGACCCCGAGAAGGGCGTGTCGGACTTGGCCTCAGCGCCTCCTCCTCCTCCTCCTCCTCCTCCTCCTCCTCCTCCTCCTCCTCCTCCTCCTCCTCCTCCTCCTCCTCCTCCTCCTCCTGAGTTCACCGCTTCGTCGTCGACCAGGTCTGCCAGTCGACCGCGGCGGCGCGGTGGAGGAGGGAAAAGGTGAGCTGAGGGAGGAGGAGGAGGAGAAGGAGGAGGAGGAGGACCAGTGTAAACCCAAGACCCATCAGCGATGTTGCAATAAACCCTCCTTCCAGGTTCCCCCTTCATAGGTCCCTACAAAGGTTTCTTGTTACTCAGAGAAGTGCCCCGTTGGATGACGAACGTCTTAAAATCTTGAACAGTGCCAACACACCATTCCTGGTACTTCAACACCGACAATCAACGTGACTGTTGGGCCCTGACAGTCCTACCTCGTGCCGAAACACCATGTCTGGGACGGCAGCCACAAGATCCTTGAAATTGGTGCGATCTCTTAAGACGAATGTGCGCGGCGCCAAGGCGAGAGTCACATGCTGAAAAGGAACCGCCTACCATCCGTGAATCATGTTCGCGAAATGTTACAAACGAATGCGCGCTGCGCTAAGGCGAGAGCCACATGTTGAAAACAGCCCATCCGTGAAACATGTTTGCGAATGTCTAAGACGGACGTACGTCACGCCAAGGCGAGAGCCACATGTTGAAAACGGCCTGCCCTCCATCCGCGAAATTTCTGCAACATTGTAACACGAATGTGCGCGGCGCTCCTGCGAGAGCGACATTTTGGAATCCACTCGCCCTCCATCCGTGAAGCTGTTGCATATGTCAAGCTCAAGCATCATAAACAGTGAGGATGTCTTAGGCGAAACGCCCGGCCCGCCCTACTGGCACGCCTTGGGGTGCGATAGGGGGAAGTAATTATTCGGAAAATGGATGTAGGAGGAGGAGGAGGAGGAGGAGGAGGGCCACAACCGAACACAGCTACGAAATAGGCTCAAGCCATTTTGGCGCAGGTGGTTTAGCAAGCTAGTTAGTGGTCTGCCAGCCGATCGCGTCGTCCCCGATGGTAGTGGTCAGTCGATCGTGGCTGCGACCGCGGAGCGCGTCGATCAGAAAAAGGGCTGGTCAATCGATCGCGTCATCGCCGCGATCGCGGCCACGCTCGGGCGACAGGAGGGGCGGGCCCTGGAAGCCCAAGGATCCGGTCTTCGCAGCCGCAGACCTGAGGGAGGTGTACGACCGTGCCACCGGCGGCGGGTACTCGGCCCCGCGCAAGAGCGACCATTCGCCAGACCAGGGTGACATCTGATGCGGGCCCACAGGGGCCCTCCCAGCACTGGCCTGCCCACTTCGAGTTGGCCCCCCGCGGCCTTCTGGAGCCGCGCCCCCAAGGTCATTCTTGCCCAGGGCCACCTCTTGCGTGTAGCGAGGTATGTTGGCCGGTGCACGGCGCCACTGCTCGTCGACCGGGGGAGCGGCGGGGCGGTCTTCGGGCGGGTGATAATGGGGGGTGGCTTGAATAGGGGGTGGAGAATATAACCCTCAAGGGGCCCGTTCTATCGCTTCTTCTGAACCCGTGTTGGTTCCAAAGTGGCCCTGAAGAGCTCCTTTAGGGCCTTTTTCTTCACCCCCTATTCAGTCGGCGGCGAGCGAGGGTAGGAAGTGAGAAGGGGTGGGCCTTCTCAGAAGGCTCGGAAGTCCCCCAGCCTTCTGAGAAGTTTTCTAAGCCTTCGCCGAAGGCACAGGAAACCTTTCAGAAGGCGCGATGGCACCGCGCGATGGCCTTCTGAGAAGTCCCGCCGCCTTCTGAGGAGGTCTTCTCCTTCTCGTTTCCCACCCCTCGCTCGCTCGCCCCCGATTCCGGTCCCCCTCGCGGCCACCCGCCCGAGGTCTCCAACGACAACGTGCAGATTGTGCGGATGCTGACCGGCGCTGCTCGCCCCGCGCCCGGAGCCGCCCGGGTGCAGCTGGTGCCGCCGGAGCTGCAGCAGGAGCCGGGGAGGGCGCACATAGGCGGGGGGCCCGGTGCGAGCGGGGCGGCCTCCGAGGCCAGCGGGGTGCCTCTCGGTGCTGGCCCCTCGGTCCTCGCCCCTGCGTCCTGGCCTCTCGATGCTGGATATCCTCCTCCCGCGGCCCTCGGCCCCACATCCCCGAGTCCCCGATCCTCGACTCCTCGACTCCTCGACCAGCGATCCTCCACTCCAGGTGCGCCCCGGTCCCCGCCTTGCCAGCCTCGCCCGCGGGCCAGGACACAGAGGGCCTCGGGTTGAGTCGGGCCTGTCCATCTGCAGCAGGGATATTCACAAATAGTTCAAAAAATAGTATGGTGACGATTTTGTCTAGCATTTGTTTAAACTATTTTTGCAGATTTTCGACCATGTTCAAGTTTTCGTCCGTCCAAAATCCGCCTACAGGGGGACATGCCCGACCTAAGCCTCGGGGAAGGCTCCCAAGGAGGCGGGAGGGCCTGCTCAGAAGCGCCCCCTGGCCTCTCATGAGGCCAGGCCCCCTCGCGCCACGCCGTCCTCGTGCGCGCTGCCCTGAGGAGGTTGAGGCCACCAACGAGTGGACGTACCGTCTGCTGTCGAACGGCGTGTATCGGGCAGGCTTCTGCACCACCCAGGATCGGCGACGAACAAGGGGGGGGAAGTGAGCAGGAGAAGGCCTTCTCAGAAGGCGGCGGGGCTTCTCAGAAGCCCCCGCGCCTTCTGAGGGGTCTTCTGCGTCTTCGGCGAAGGCTCAGCAAACTTCCCAGAAGGCCGGGGGACTTCCGAGCCTCCTGCGAAGGCCCGCCCCCTCTCGCTTCCCCCCCGCGCTCGCCGCCGACAGGAGGCATTCGAGCGAGCGGTGCGCGACGTGCGCGCGGGGCTCGAGCGCGCGGAGGCGCTGCTGGGCGAGCGGCGGTTCCTGTGCGGGGACCGGGTCACGGAGGCCGACGCCATGCTCCTGCCCTGCGCGGTCCGCTTCGACGCGGTCTACGCCTTCCTGTTCCTCCGGGGGTCCTGCGGGCTGTGGCGCGAGAGACCAGCGCTGCGGCGATGGCTGGCGGACTGTTGGGCGCTGCCAGGCGTGCGCGATACCGTCGACGTGCGGGCATGCCAGGACTGGGGAGTCCAGGGAATGGGGACCAGATACTGGCGCCCCGTGGGGCAACGGAGGAAATTGGCTTGCATGACCTCAGACAGCAGTCGAGAGCTGGCGCTGGATTCGTGTGGAATTGTTCCACACACTCCGCACCTAGACCGATGTTCCGATATGCCCGCACCGCCCGCCAATGGCTACGGTCGGACCGAGGTATAAGGCCGAGGTCGGCTTGTGGAGGATATCCTCGTGTTCTTCGTATGTGTTGGATGTTATTGTGCATCCTGGGGCGGGTACCCTTGGACGTTCTGTGCGTTTCGGCCGACTGAGGGGCCTATGGTCTTGAGGGATGTTCTGCCGGCCTGGGTCCGACTGTATGCCTTCCTGCGCAAAACGCAGACCGTTCTAGTCCGAAAGACACGCATCGGGTTGGGAGGATGGGGCTGGGAGACATGACCATGTTAGCCATACTACAGCGTATGTTGAAGGTGCTTGTGACACACTCGTACCCTGTATCTTCGCAAGCCCTTCGCCCCGACACGAGACATGTCTTCCTCACCTGGGATTCACGTCCGATGTCTCCCCAAAGAGCGGGTGCACCGAGGAGGCTCTCGCCAAGCTCACGGATTGGTGCCGCCGGCATTCGGCCCGGTGCCTTTCCGTCGGCCGCGCCCCCGGCTGGTCCCCAGCACGGCCTCCCCCCCCGCTGCTCGTGTGCCTGCTCGCTCGCTGGCACATGGGCATCGCTCGGACACGAGATGCTTTCCTCCAGCAGGGGCCATCGAGGAGCGTGCTGGGCCATCTTGCGAAGAAAGTGCACGCACGAAGCCGCCGAAAAGTGCGCGGGGAGTGGACGTCCGAGCGATGGCGAGGCATGCCCGCCACTTTCCTTGGCGGTCTGTCGGCTCCTTTGATCGAGGCCTGATCGGGGCGCGGGTCGACTGCAGCCAGGATTGCGGATGCCGTGGTCGGCGTTGTGGGGGGGGGGGGGAACGCGTCGATTTCGGCCTGATCAGGGGCCCCGGGTGGGCCCCGAACCCTCGCGTTCCCCGCTCACGGCTTCGCGACAAGCGCCTGTATCGAGAAGTTTGGCCTGCGCGTATGTGAGTCAGGTACCGCTGTTCTCTAGAAGCGCTCCAGCTATGACGCCATAGTTCCGCGAATGCGCCAAGCAGCAGCTATCATCGTGCAGGGTAAAAACAACGTCCAAACGCATTTTTATCACCATCACCCACGGTCACTTTTTCATGATGCCAACTGTCCCTCCGCGTAGACTCTTGATTGCCACCTGAGTATGTGACCGTCCTGTTGCAAAGCCCTCGTCTGGTTCAACCTGTTTCTGTATTAACCATTGCTCCTGAGGCTGCAAGAGGTAACCTTGGCCGAGGGTGCCCCCCCCAGCTCGTCGCACTACTTTGGAAGCCCTGTGGCCTTTGGAGCCTCGTGAAGGGTGCTCTGAAGGCCATCCCCGCTTCCTCGGAAAAGCCACCTCTGGCAACATCCGACTCTCGTTTCCCAGTCGGCCTGCAGGAGAGCTACTACCGCACATTGTTCCCGCTGAACCCGTCCCAGATCCTGCCCGTGCCTCCAGCTGGCGATTTGGCTGCCCTCGGGCCCGAGCGGGAGCTGCAGCAGAGCGAGGCCGACGAGCTCTTCCACTGGCTCTAGCTCGAGCGTCGGGCCCTGTCGCGCCGCGCACAGGTCCACAAAAAAATGCAGAGGTGCTGCTTCGCCTCACCCCAACCTCCCCATCTCGGTCGAAGGTGGCACCAGGTGTGACCCTGGCCCAATGTGGCCCTGGCCTGGCCCAAGGTGCCAAGGTGGCGCCGGCTCTTCCACGGAGGCCTCTAGGGCATCCAGCTCACCCCACACGAGGCTTAGAGGGCCCAAGCACGGGCACCCTAACGGCGCGAAAAGTTGGGGATGCATTGGGCCAGGGACACTTTCGGTAGCTTTGGATAATCCTCCTCCCCCTCCTTTTCCTCTGTCCTCTCGTTGTCGATCGGGGAGCTCGCATCGGCGTCCCCTCGATGATGGACGCATTGAGCGGCGCGTTCGCCCACCTGAGTCCTGAGTAGCCTCTGCGGCCTGCTCTGTCAGGTTTTTGTTTCGCCAGCGTTACGGCCTACTTTTGGCTGCCCCCTCGGCTGCAAGATACTGGGCGGGGCTCTCGCTTGCCCGACTTGGGCTCGATCAGAGGGGGAGCGGCTACACGGTGTTTTCAGTGCGCGGATGACGCAGAACGGACGCGTATCCTTGTTTGTTGGTTCTCGGCTCGCGCGACGCATATACGTATCCGACAGATTTCGGTTGCGACCGCCATGCGGCGCTTGCCAGCCTCAGCCAGTCGCCGCGCGCAGGTTCTAGTCCCAGTGTCACTGACGACTATGAACATGCTTTGTCTCTTCGGGACCCCATCGGTGCCATCGGTGCCCTTTTCTCGAAGCCAAGGTTCTTCGCGGCTCGCCTACTGCAGGTTGGCCCAATCGTCGTCCCAGGTTTGCTTGGAGGCTGCGACTTGCGCATGTGCGTGGGGTCGCTGGCGCTGCGCCCTCGAGGAGGAAACTCATAGGTACCAAACCGTCTCTTCCAGCTGGTCGCCTCGTCGACTTCGACGTCGCGCAGGGACGCGCCAGGAGCCGCGAAGCGAGACCGCCACCGATGTGGCATAGCGAGCCGAGCGATGCTTCCATCCCAGGCTCTTCTAAATCGCTCCGCTGGGCCCACACCCCACCAGCCTCCTTTTCCCTTCCGCCAATTTCGACGTCGCACAGAGAGGCGCCACCAATCGTGGAGCGAGACACTGGCCGATTTAGCGCAGCTGCGCCACCGCGCCTGATGCGACGCACTGTCTCCATCGCGGTTTCGTTATGCCCTGACGTAGTCCTGCCCGCACACACACACTCCTAAGCGCGCAGCGAAGCGCCACCGGTCACCGAGCGAGACTTCCAACTCGCGTTCCGCGACATCGCGAGCAAGAGGACCACTCATGCCACGCAGGGCTCCGCCTTGAAAGGGGGCCGCGGGAGGGGGGGGGGGCACATGATGTAAGGAAGTCTCCCATTGGGCGGCAGGTATTGGGGCTGGGGGGCTGGGACCCGGGCAGCGCGAGCGCGCACTGAGCTCTCACCTTCGACAATCTTGATTTGGGGTTGGGGTACATGCGCGCGTGCCCGCTCTACGACTGGGCAGGGTGCTGATCCTCCCCCCTTGTCCCTAGACTCCCCCTTCCCCAAGCAACTTCTCTCTCATGGAGATCCATGCGTTGCGCGATGTGGTGGGATGGAGAGCGTAACAAGACGGATGTCGAACACGGGTGAGGAAGGGAACGATGTGTATTCCGTCAGTTGGTTACGGATGGCCCCTCTGCCCAAATAAAATGGTTTCGTCGATGGAACCCGAAGTCGCTTAGTGTGGCTCTTGTGTGATGGGCTATGTGACAATTCGCCGTTCTTAGTACTTCACATTGGGCGATTGTACAAGGCGTTTGTCTCATCGGCCCATCTCATGTTCCATACCCCCTGGCTTGAGATCAGTTTGGCACAAGTCGTCTAGGAGGGCGCCCTCGGGCAGGCATGACGTGGTGTGAAACCATGCCGTGCGCTTCTCCGCAGGCGGCCAACGTTGCGACGGCAGCGCCATCATCGCCCTCTGCGTTGGGAGCCCACGTGCGCTCGCTCTTATCAGGCTGCCCACTGGTCGTTGAGAGTAGGTCTTCCTGGAATCACAGATTCCAATCTATTTTAAGCGCCTTATTACTTCAATGATCGAGTGGATTCACCTTTTCCGTCCTCCTTAGGAGGCGGGCGGACACCCAATCTACTGTCAACGATGTCCTACGTCATGTTTCTACCTACTTCTTCCTACCGATGGGTAGGTGTTGGAAAGACAGGGAAACGAGCCCCAAGCGCCAACTCACGCCAGCTCGCCCATCTCGCCTTCTCCCGCAGCTGTGTCCTTTGGCAGCCCCCGTCCTCCCCCGAGCAGAGAAGTTGGCTGCGTTGGCTGTCACGCGCAAGGGAGGGCTCCACCTCGTCTCCTGACACATCATCGTCAGTCGTCGTTTGGAACGGGTCAACGTGTCGAGCGGCTGGCCCACGGAGGAGGAGGCGGAGGAGGAAGAGGTATCGAGACGCATCAGAAGTCGAGGCAGCTCAAGCCATTGGGCCAGTTTTGGCTCATCTTACGGCGAACGTCACCGAACGATTGGAGGGTTGTCAGGAATCCGATTCGTGAGCCATACTGGCATACGCATCATGATGCACGGAGAGTTTTGCGGTACAGGTCGTTTGCGGAGACTTTACCCCATTCGTCATGCTGTCTCCCACCTCCTGCCCCAATACACAGCCCCCTGTTCTCGTTCAGTGCTGGTTCTGGAGCGGAGCGTCAGATTCGTGCTGCGCTCCCCCGGCAAGAGAAGACCACAGCGTCACAGTACCACAACCAAGGTCCGGGCATTGGCCGGAGTATCAGTGGCTGGCCACCGTATCTTGTGATGCGGTGGAGGAGGAGGAGGAGGAGGAGGAGGAGGAGGAGGAGGAGGAGGAGGGGCAGCAGGAGGAGGAGAGCAGGAGGAGGAGGGGCAGGTGGAGGAGGAGGGGCAGGTGGAGGCTGCGCCGCTCTCGGCCAGAGGTTTGGGGCCTCCGAGTGGCTCCAGGCCCTCGTTCGCTCCGCTCCTGCCCCCATCCAGCGCCGCCGGCGCCCGCCGAGCACCTCCCCGCCGCGCACGCGCCGGCGGCCGCGCGGTAAGCGCACAGGCTTTTCTGCAGCGTGAGCGTACGCCTGGAACCGAGGGATGAGACCGAGGTCGGTTCGGGGAGGGTGCCCTCATGTTCTGCGTGCCTGCTGGGTGTGCCCGTGCATCCTGGGGAGGGTATAGCCTCGGATCTGCTGTGTGCTTTGGCCGGCGGAGGGTCTCGTGTCCTTGCGGGATGCCCTTCTGGCCTAGGTCCGACTGCAGCCTGTGTCAGACATCTGATTCACTTCGACCGTCGGATCAGGCACCAGAGAAGCCTCGTCGTGCAAGGCTGACAGGCACTCTGACGGCACGCGCGCGATGGCGCCGTCCTGTGGCCTGTTCCTTTTGCACGTGGCCGTCGGGCAGGAGGACGGCGACTGAGGAACGCTGGGGCGGATCAGCTCGCGTCCTGTCACCCCCGGTGTTCTGGCGGGGCGGCAAAGCTTTTCCTGGTCCAGGGTGGCCCTTTCGTTAAGTCGGGCACGTCCCTCTACAAATGGAATCTTCAAAAATAGTCCAAAGATAGTCCAGGCCCGATTTTCTAACTAGTTTTGAATATTTTGTTTGGTATGTTTCACCGTCTGCCCAAAATCCGCTTGTAGGAAGACATGCCCGACCTAACCCTGGCGTTTCGCGCCATCTTGGAGTCACCCTGGGGTCGTTTGGGCCCTGTGAGGGGTGTGCTCTGCAGGCCGCCCGTGCCTTCTGAAGGTTCCTCGTGAAACCTCGGCCGGATGCGTGGGAGTGGGCGTGGGGGGGCCGCTGCTTCGCCCCAGCTGACCACCTGACCTTTTGATCCGTACAGTGGAAGCCCATGCCAAGGAACACCCTGCTCGCCTCCAGGGTGCCCTGGGTTTCTTTGGTTTCGATGGCTTTGCTATGAGAAGCGCGTTCCCACACCAAAAATCAATGGACGTCATGGGGTCTCAGGGCTGGGTTTCTTGTGGAAGGCTTCTTGTGGTCGGGCCCCTACTGTACCTAGCCAGTTCGGCCCGAATGGGCTCCCGGGGCACCGGGCCCGTGGCCACCGGACCGCACGCACACACGTGATTTGCCCCGGCGGCGCCCGCGCCCTGGCCCGATCTGGCCTGGGGCGATGGTTAGGTCGGGCATGTCCCTCTGCAGGAGGAGAATATTCAGAGAGAGAGTCCACAAAAACAGTCTGGGGACGGGGCTCCTGACTACGCTGGACTAGTGTTGGACATGTTTTGGCTATGTCTCGCTTGTCTTCCAAGATCCGCCTGTAGGAGGACATGCCCGACCTAACCCTGGCGGCGCCCGCGCCCTGGCAGGGGGGCCACGGCCATGGCGGCGCGGCTGCTCTCCACGGCGCGGGCTCTGGCGTGCTTCGCGGCCGCCGCGGGGCTCACGCTCGACGCCGAGAGGCTCGGTGCAGCACCTCGTGGGAGCCTCGCGCACGCGTGCAATTCCGTCTTTAGCGTCGGCTAGCGTCTGGGAGTCGATGAGATAGCGCCGAATGAGCGTCGGCTAGCGTCGATGCAGCGTCGACTAGCGTCGATGCAGCGTCGATGCGCGTCCGTTCGCGAGGGCCGACAGGACGGCACGGGAGGCTCCCACGAGCTGCCACCGAAGAAAGGGGGGCCGAGGCTCCCGTCGTGGACGTGAAGCTGCTCGGAGAGGCCGGCTGCCCCTTCACTCAGAGGCTGATCCTCGGGGCCCTGAACAGGACGCTCACCTCGGAGGGCGTGGCGGGCGCGCTGCGCTTCGACTTCCTGCCGTTCGGCAACGCCTTCTTCTCGACGAAGGCCTGCCCGAACACCACGTACGATCCGGCTACCCGCCGCTGCTTCAACAGGCGATGCGGTGCCGACCGGGTGGCCGAAGGCCTACCGCTTCCCGAGGACTGCTTCCAGGGCACGCTGGTCTGCCAGCACGGGCGGGTCGAGTGCGAGGCCAACCGCTGGATGGCCTGTGCCCGCAAGGTCGCCCAAGTGCCAGGCGACGAGAGGTCGAGGGCGAGCTACTCCGGGTACATGCCGCTCGTGCATTGCATGACGAGGTGGTACGGGCACGCCAAGGTCGGAGCCAAGAGCCTCGAGCACATCGTGGCGGGCTGCGCGGCGAGCACGGGTCTGGAATGGGGGTCGCTAGCCCGTTGCTACGGTGGCCCCCAGGGAGACGCGGCCATAGTGGAAGCCGCGAAGGGGACGCCCGTGCACAGGGTGGTCCCGTGGCTGTACGTCAATGGCGAGCCTATGGAGGAAAATCACGAACACGAGCTCTTCAAGGAGGTATGCAATGCCTTGCCGCCGTCGGCCAGGCCGCAGGAGTGCCTCAAGGAGCTCGGGGAGCCCCTCGAGCGCCCGTAGTTCACTCGGAGCAACGACTTGACTTTCGGAGGTCCGCGCGGGTGCACGGTCTACTTGAACGGCGCGAGCCCGCGCGGGCGGCTCCCGATAGGCCCCCCTGCGTCTGCAAGCAGCACGCTAGGCGTTCCGATATCTCGAAGTCGACTGCTGGCGCTCCGGTGCGGTGGTCCCGTCCTGTCCTCCGCTTCCTCCTCCTCCTCCTCCTCCTCCTCCTCCTCCTCCTCCTCCTCCTCCTCCTCCTCCTCCTCCCCCTCCTCCCCTCCTCCCTCCTCCTCCTCCTCCTCCTCCTCCTCCTCCTCCTCCTCCTCCTCCTCCTCTCCTCCTCCTCCTCCTCCTCCTCCTCCCCCTCCCCCTCCTCCTCCTCCTCCTCCTCCTCCTCCTCCTTCCTCCTCCTCCTCCTCCTCCTCCTCCTCCTCCTCCTCCTCCTCCTCCTCCTCCTCCTCCTCCTCCTCCTCCTCCTCCTCCTCCTCCTCCTCCTCCTCCTCCTCCTCCTCCTCCTCCTCCTCCTCCTCCTCCTCCCCTCCTCCTCCCTCCCCCTCCTCCTCTCCTCCTCCTCCTCCTCCTCCTCCTCCTCCTCCTCCTCCTCCTCCTCCTCCTCCTCCTCCTCCTCCTCCTCCTCCTCCTCCTCCTCCTCCTCCTCCTCCTCCTCCTCTCCTCCTCCTCCTCCCCTCCTCCTCCTCCTCCTCCTCCTCCTCCTCCTCCTCCTCCTCCGCCTCCTCCTCCTCCTCCTCCTCCTCCTCCCCCCCTCCCCCTCCCCCTCCCCCTCCCCCTCCTCCCCCCCTCCCCTCCTCCCTCCTCCTCCTCCTCCTCCCCCTCCTCCTCCTCCACAATTACTCAATATGAATACTACTCTCCCTCTTCCCCTGATGACGGCTTGAAAGTGCTCGACCTCCCCCGCGTATTTTTTACACACACACACACACACAGGTTTCCCCAGAGTTGGGTGTTCGCCTGCATTTTGTTCAAAATGCTGCTCTCGCTGAGGCGTCGGCCTCATTTTCGGGCCCCGCTCGTTCCGAATCGTGCTCC